CCAAACCCAATATCCACACTCAAACTCCCAAACAGTTTGAGTTTTGGTTTGGTACATGCCTAGGTGATGTCTTGATTTCATGAACAGTGTATGTCGATCGATCGAGCTAGATTTCAACATATTCGTATAGGCTGAATGTATCTTGAGAAAGCTGGATCGTCGAATTTCATCTATTTATCTTTAGCTGTTCCATTGATCAGCTATGCCAATAATGGATTTTGGTTATACTAAATATGGATAAATTGGATTGAATATTCTTTATAAAATTAGTTTCGCCAAAATATATAAAAGTTTTGCGATCATCAGTCTATTGTATCTAACTGTTCATGAATAAAATATAGAAAACTAAAAAGTTGAAACAGCATGGAAGACCGTTGAGATCTAAATAGATGGAAATTCTCATCGATTGAAAAGTAGACGCTAGCCAGATTTTAAAACAAAACAAAACAAAACTTTTTGCTACTTCATTGAAGCATGGCTGAAGAGATTTATGATTGTGCTGTACTGTTTCAACATGTTTTCTTCTCCGTACCTGAACAAGTGATTGAATGATTTGGTGAATCTTGTTAATATGTTGCGCGATTTGTCTATTAAATATGGAATATAAATTTAAAGTCAAACTTTTTGTCGTTTTACTTTTCTTTTAGATAAGTAATAGACTGAATTTTAAATTTATGTTCTAATGAAATTTGAGAGCGCACTCAAAAGAAGATCTCAACATATGTATTTCATAGATTCAAATAACAACTCATAAAGGGCGTTTAAAAAGTTTTAAAAAAAATAATTTTAAAACTCATCGTTCTAATATAGAATAGAGTAAACTCTTTAGTACTTTCATAAATTATTACAACTATTGAGTGTTGAATAACTTGAGTTTGATCGTTGCATTGACTTTTGTATGTATTAGTAAAATGAAACCTCGTTATATTTTTGATCAGTTAGTTTTGTTACTTTAACAAAGGAAACAAAATAAGCATGACTGATCGTTTACAGAATAGGACTAAGGATGCACGAAATCCTAAAATGCCAACACAAAGATTTTGCTGTATTACATTGATTTTATACGGAAAACAAACAATCATTATGTTAAGTTTGTAGGAATTGACACATTCATAATTCGAATGAGCATTTTCTTTATTCTACTATTTGGTTAGTTTTTGTTCAAGGTTAGTTCGATAGTTAATTTTATTTCAATGTTTTGATTTTCCTAGCATTTGAAACATTTTTTTTTATATTGCTTCGCTACTAAAATTCATAGCTAATGAAGATTAAAATATTTGATTGTCTACAACGATCATCAATACAGAAGAAATCCTAAGTGTCATCGATAATCACGAAGAATCAAGAGAGAGATCGGCGGTAGTCATATTCTATGTTATTTGAATCATTATTTGATTATTAGTTGCAGTATTTTGAAGACTAACTAATAGCCATAACTACCGTTACAGTAAGCAGCGTTTGGTTTTTTTTCTTTCGCTTATGTACTTACAAAAAAATTAATTCTGTTAGAAAAATATATGGTTTACCTGTCATGTATCTGTTCTCTATCATTTTTAATCACTTCGCCGAATCTCTTAGAAATTTTCTCAGTCATTACAACTTATCTTCTTTCATTCTTTGTTCAATCTCATTTTTAGTTGTTTAAAACTTGAAAATTGTTCGCCTTGCACGTTTTCCTTTGGAATCTCTCATATATTCTCCATATGCCAGACATCGACAAATTTAGCATCACCTTCTTCTGATAAAATTCGATCGTTAAATAATTTATCAACAGTTCATAATACAATTTTTGTTCGTTGTTTTGAGTCCAATTATGTGATATGTTCATATACTTTATTCTTTTCAATTCAATTACTCAATATATAGTGGGGTTAAACATGAAATCTATGCTCCATAATGAGCGTCGAATAATCGATTAAGATTAATAGTTCTTGGCTCTTGTTATACTTTTTTTTTAATGAAAAATGAACCTAAGACTTTATTAAAAAATCCATAAAAATTCATGTTGGTCGATTACGAAAAGCTTATCATAACATTGTCATGCTTATATTTTTACTAATAGAAGAGAAGACATATTATCATAATACATCATTTGAAAGCTTGTCATGAGTACTCACATTTTATATAAAAAGATTTGATCTAAGATCATTTTTTGTTTACATAAAAGCAAGCCTAAAAATTTATGAAACATTCTGTATCTGAAAGGTATTAGGGGATGGGAATGTCCCTCTATTACTGCTATGTGATAAACTTTACTATTAAAAAAAAGAAGTAAATCTCGATTTATTTGAAAGAACAATAAACTTTAACGAAAATTTCCGAGCTCAAAGTAAGTATTTAATTATTGATTTATAGTTTACACTGTGAGATTACCAACACTGTAAATCTTATTCGAAAATGATCGCTTCACATTATCGAAAAATCTCGAGTCAATAAATATCTAGGTTCAGTTTTCTTCGTTATAAACGGGCCCTTTTTTTTATCCAAGAATTGACTAACTACTAATTCAATTGTATATTCACTAAAATCTCCTTAACCTGATTTGAAAGACGTAATTTTCCGTACATTTCAGTCTGGTTTGCTGCATTTTATTGTTGTGAAATATAGCATTTTGAACTGAAACATTCCGGGTTTTGAAGAATTTTGAAAATGAAAACATTATGTACACTCAGAATGTACGAAATGTCGCCATTAGCTTATTTATGATAGAAAATTTAGTTTAGTTTTTCAGATGGGCTTTTGTATTGAATGATTAGTAAGGAACTGTCTTTATGATTAGTTCAAAAAAAAGCATTTCAGAATTTTCAAATACGTCAGTGAAAAATCTCTATCTGAAGAAAATTGATTTCATAAGACTCAAATGAAAGAGACATTTTTCCTTGATGATTCATACCTCCGTATCAATGAGTCCAAATGTTCTTGAGATCTTTATTTGGATCAGCCATTAGAAGAACTATTTATTACTAAATTATTAGTCTAGAAATCAAAAGTTAGGTTTTCCTGTCGAATCCTCGATAGATTGAAAGAATCTACTAGATATTCAATAAATCAGCAAGGAACAACTGAGAAACTAAACCAATTTTAAGTATACCATTAGCTAAAACAGATGGGGAATTTATTAATCGAATTTTGAGGAAAAAAGCCAAATCTTGGTTTATATACGAGTGAATATTTCGAGAAATTCTCTTACGAATCGAGTAGGATTTGTAGATTTTGTTCGAACATATCTATAAATATAGGAGAGCAGTGCGTTTCATCGCACGTTCTTTTTGTATAATTCCAACTTTTTTTTGAAAAGAGAAGCATAATTTGAATGTTGATTTTATTAAACAAATAGCTTCAGCAAGTAATTCTTTCTAATTGTAAAATTTTGTAACTTTGTTTTTATGTTATAGGAAGTGGCAATATGAACCAGTTCATTGTCATTAATCAAAAATTCTTCAAAGACGTTTTTCAGAGCGTTTTATTTTATTTTTGCTTTCTTTCAATTGTAGTTCGTTTTTTTTTTCTAACTTCACTAGCATAGGTATTGATAATAATTCTTATAATGCATCAATTTATTTATTTTTTTGCATCGTTTACGTATTATTATTAATAAACTTTCAATTCTTAAATGGACATATATATATATTTGTTTACAAAGCATATAACAAAAGAAAGATAAAACATGAAATAACAAAAAGAGAAAATAGGAAATTGATTGACGTCCGTGCTTGCAAATGCAATGAAGTGTGTTTTGCTCTTGGCCAAATAGCTATCATATGTATTTGATTCGTATTGTGCAGCAGAAAAGAGAAAATAAATAGAAGAACAGAAAAGCGCTTTAAACATAATGTGCGTGTGTGTTCGATGTTTGTAAACAATTGAATATGTAATATAATACAATGTGCAAGTCATCTACCTCAATGAAAAATACATGAAAAACAAATTGAAAGAAACAAGGACGTGAGACGAATAACGTGTTTTGATATTGATAGTACATCCAAGGTTTTATCATACAACAGAAGCCAGCTATTATCGATCGTCCTGACAATTCATTAAAAAAAACCAGAATAAGAAAAGAGAGAGAATGAACACATAAAAGTTACTACAAGGTCAAACAAATGAGATTAGAAATATCAATTGTAATTTATGAAATCTATTCCATCTCATGCTTAAAGAGTAACAGAGATTTTAGATCAGAATTCGAATATTTCCTAAACTCTTAACCTTTCCCATTTATTTTTAACATTGTCGTTGAGAATTGAATGAGTCATCACAAGAAAAATTTAAGTGGTTTCAAAATGATTTATTCAGAAATGGAAATTCTAGTAAAAACTAATGTTTTTAATATAAAGTATCTCAAGCAGAAGCAAAGTACCCGAGGTACTTACGATTTTGAAAAAGTACTGTGTTTTGTACTTTGCTGGGAAAAACAAAATACATTGATGGTACTTTGAAAATTTTAAAAATAGCACCTTACTCATTTATTACACCATTATATAAAAGTTTCTCTTTTTTTCCTCTTGATTATATATTTTAATTGTAGACGTAGCTGAACAGTACTTTTTCTTCTGGTCCTATCAAATTCATAAGCGAAATTCCTTGTTTTTTGTTTTTGAGATTCTAGATCTTATTGATAGATATTTTTGTTTTATTCATGCATCCTATGCTATTGATTATCTAGTATTTATTCAATCTATTTTATTATTTACTACTTATTTCAATCTATATCTATTAAATTTATTAGTTTGTTTCATGCATTAAAAAAAAGATTATATATATAAGTAGCATCGATATAATTATTTTTTTTTCTTAGTTATGGACGAGAAGAGCTTGAATATATTCGTAAAAAATATAGAAATTTAAGTAGATTTGACATGAATAAATGTCAAAACGAATGAGAAAAATTAGAAATTTCATTAAGTGATTTTATACTTGATAATGAACAAAATAAATCTCGAAGATCATTCTGAAAGTCATTTATCTCATGAAGAGAAGCCATCAACAATTCTTTTCGTATGCAATATAAAAATATTTTAATAGTATTATCAATTTATTTAACATTAGCTCTGAATTCAGCTGAATGTGAACATGGTTACTCCATTGCTAATCGAATACAAATTAATGGTCGTTCAAGATTGATGATTGAAACACTTGATGCATTAATGAACGTTCGCATGCTGCTTTTTCCAGATGATGTACGAAGGTAAAATTATTGTGAATTAGATAATAGCAAAAATAATCATGCTTTTGAATATTTTTTAATCACTGTGGTTAGAAAATAATCGAAAAAGATTATAATACATGAAGTGGAAACGATTAAAATCGTCGAATTAATAGAAGAAAATTGATAATTGATGTTCTAGATGACTATTTACCGTCAAAACAAGTCTGAATACATAGACCAAGAAGGCCTCTTATAACAACTGATTATTGCCCAATTCAGAACAACAAAAACCGTATAGATATTAAATGTGGCAACCGTTGTTGAAAATATATTGCCGTAGATGATCCAGAAGAAATATATATATATGTTCCATCTATATCTTTCGCTTTGCATGATCGATCATGTGTTTTTCGTTTCCAGCGCGTTCTAGTATTTTCGTTCGTTTCTGTACTCATCTTGTATTTTCTATATAGTACTCTCTTGTGAGTTCTTGATTCTCTGGTATTTTCTAGAACAATTCTTTTCTTCTGAACCCATATATATATAAATACCCCTCATTCACAGCAATAAAGGTGGTACTGTATATACAAGATAATTAAGAGTTCTCTTGGCTACAACTGGTTAGTGGTTGACAACCTAACAAATTAAAAAACAAATTACTCGGAGTTGAAAAAAATGCATCTTTTATATTAAGCTTCAGACTATAGATGTGTCCAAGTGAAGAAGAGCATAGTTGAATGTGAATGCCAGAATAAGAGTAAGATCTAACAACTTCATCTTCGCATTGATGCTAGGATATGTCAAATTTGACAAATTACGACGTCGTTATGCATCAAGAGAAACCTTCGATTCACTGACAAATTCGTCGTCCTCTAAGTTAGAATTTAATTGAGTAAAGATCAAGTGACAAAAATACAAAAGCTTTATCGTTACATTGTTCAACTAAAGACCTAATGATCAATCTTTGATTCATCAATAAAATTCTCTTTAGATCAATTTCCAAAACAATAGGTTGATTACTAAACAGTAGAAACAATAAAATTTTGTTATTGTTAGATGTAGAAAAAGTAAATATTTGAAGGAGAATAAAGGATTGTTATTTATCCTTATCTAAAAGCATATTAATCGTATTGAATCCTTTTATATTCATAAACATGCTTCGATTTAGATAGATAGCAAGAGAATTAAAAAGACGTCGATGACTGTACATAAAGTAAACTACTAGAACTTCAGATGAAAAATATTGTTCGAATTTTATAGGCTTCCTCTTTTTGGATAATACAGATGATTCTCACAGTCTACAGTAACGAGAGAAGTTCATATTGCATATGCCAAAATGTAGGAAATATCCATCAAATTGATAAATTGACATGAGTTTATTAGGTAACTTCTCTAGATAGAAATAGAGAACACAATGTGCTACAATTATAAGACAATTACTGGAATTTTTCTTGAGATGATGAAACCTTTAAAAGCTAAAGTATTAAAGAAAGGAAATATCCAATTTAAGTGAATATTTCTTAATAAAACAACAATAGTTGTTTGTTCTATCGGCAAAATAAAACGTTGAGAAAAAGAAACATTTTCCTTGAAGGTACGAAAAAAAAGATACATTGGAACATAAGTTCTACATGTTTCAAATAATATCGAACTTTGTTAATAGAATGAGTATTTCAGTTTTCACAAGAAATGAATCAAAATAGGACATTTCTCACATTGGATAAGAAGCATTACAAATATCCCTAGGACGGCGAATCCAATTGGAATGATAAACGAAAATATTGATATCAGATCAATTTCGACTAGTTAGAAGCAAAATACAAAATTTTTCTATCAAATTTGAGTTATAAAGCAGATAATTTGTCGCATAACTTGCCTAAAGCAAGATACTAAGTTCCATATTAATTATAATCTTTAATACGACTTTGCTTTCCCTTAATTACCCATTTGGGGTGAATTTCTGCGAAGAAGTACGTTGAAGGTGTTAGAAACAGCTTTTTTTCTGATGTTCAAAAAAATTAACAGAAGTGTTTTCCAGAGGTTTCAAAAACCAAAAAAAATAATAGCGTCTTGTTTGAACTTTCTTCTCGTAATTCAATTCTACTAACTATCTAATGATTCATCCATATTAAATTATAACTACTTATGTAATCTACAGCTGAGGTTCTGATAAAAAAAACAGGAAATACAATATCTTAGCAGAAAAGTAAACAACTGCTGAACAAATGAAACCCAAAGAAAAAAAGCTGTTTATTGTGATCTGATTCAGATCTTATCAGAGCAATCATATACTTAACATGAATAAGCTTTCAATAATGTATTAATACTGGTGTAATCTTCACTTTTTTTCCTAATATTTTTAGTTTAATCCATTGTTATAGATAAATTAAAATGAAGAAATTGGTCACCTCAGTACTCCGTAGTTAGTTTCCTCGAATTCACGTAAATACATGTTCAAATGGCTTAGGTTAGAATGAAATCTTCTATTCAGACTTTGCATAAACTCACAGAGTCTGCTATTGTTTAGAACCGTTGCGAGTCATTGAAAAAAGAATATGTTTATATACGGAATACATTGAGTTTGTGCTAGTAAAATTTGATTCATTTGATTCTTTTTTCTTGCTTTAGAGAAAGAATGTTAATATTGATGCTGTTTTTGAATGAATGGTGAGTTAACATAAAGAGTATAATAAACACATAATCAGAAAAGCTTGCATTATTCTTCTCGCATTATATTCGCATTTCTTTAATGTATTTTGGTTTTATTCGTTCTTATGGTTTATGCTAGAAGTAAATCAAGAAAATAACTTCGTTGATAAATGTTGACTTTAAATAGTTAACGGCAATGAAGAACACAGGGGATTTGGATTCTGCCTTCTTTTTTTATTGTATGACTTTAAGACTAATTGAAATCATAGTTACGAGAAAAACTCTAATGAAATATGGAAAACTTTAGTTTTTGTTTCACAGAATGTCTTGAGAATCCTAAATGTTTAGTAAGTAGTTTCGTATTCTGTTAAATTATAGAATACAAGACTTCAAGGGCAACTGATCATCTATTTCATAATAAGTGTCAGCTAAAATGTCTAGCAAAAGAAAGATTTTGTAATTGATAACATCAAAAATACAAAACATCACAAGGTAAGTTCATAGAACTTTTCAAGCATTATTGGCAAGTATATTTCATCTGAATATAAAACAGATCATAACTCAAACTGAGTGATCAAAAAAAAAAAATGTGGAAAAATCAGTTTGCAAATATACTGAGATTTGCAAAGAATTTTAGTTTTCCTATGTGAAATAGAGAACAAAACTTTTGTGTGTTGATGTGTCACTCGATGAAGTGTCATGTTTTAAAATAAGGAGAAGGATATGAATTCTAATGAAAATTTGCTATTCGAAAATAATTTTCGAGATAATTATGAAGACCAACAAAAATATTTATTTTGAACAAAACGTCAGAAAGATGCTTTATTGCGCATTTCTTCTAAGACTTGTGATCAAATTCTTTTGACAAATTGAAAATATTTTGTATTATTTTAAAAGTCTGAATTTGTAAAACGCATTTTATTCCCACAGTGTGCTAGAGAAATGTGTTCCACTTGACAGAAATGTAACGCAGCTCGTATTCTTGTAATAGAAAACTCTCTTAGAGTATGTGTCTTCTAATAACCTATTCTGTAGAAGGTAAGAAATGAGGTAATACAATTTCATGTCAAATATAAAGTATAAGCAACTTAGGGTTTTAATATAATTCTACTAGAAGTAGAAGATAAAATGAGGCCACAAATTATTATTTTACCATTGAAATAACTTTTTCATATAATCATGTATAACAAGGGAAAGATTGAATCTCATTTCTCATACTGTGTTAATCTATAAAATACTTTCATTGGATGTCTTAGTTCCTACTGAAGGTAAGAGCCTTCAACATTCATATACAGGCAGTTTATAATTAATTTTGATTAATAGGAAGTTCAATGTTAAATTTGCTCAAGCATGAGCGAAATTATCGTGGGTGATGTCCAAGACTATTGTGGATGTCATCGTTGGAAAATGGAAAGTCTATTTTAGACAACAAATTCATCAATTTTTAATTATACTTTATTGTTATTTTCAATATAAATTTCATCAAAGTTCATTATATGATTGGCGATCTACGTAATATTATTTTAATGAAAAATAAATCTACAAAGAAAAACTAGAATTACCTTGTGAGATCAATAACTTACCAACGATTCATGAGATAGGTTTAAGATTTTCAAAAAGTGTACCAGAATAGTTTATTATGGTTTTTAGAAGCATTTTATACATATAAACACTAATGAATGAAAATCGCACGGTAGTCATCGAGAGCTCGTCAAGGTTCTAGAATATATGTTACTAAAACTAATGAGAAAATGTTTCTAACTATGAAAGAGCATGAGTTTCGCTGTAGTTTCATAACCAAAAAATCAGTGATATCGTCAGTTTTATTTTTTAAATGCAATACAAATGAGGAGTTCTTTGTTACTGTCTACCATCAAGCAACTGTCTTCTTATGTTAAAATTCCCCTATCAAAGAGTGTTTTGGATATATAATCTGATGTGATTTTGTTATTAGGCCACTCTGAAGATTGATAACGATGGACAATAGAGAAAAAAATGAGTTTAAAAATAATTATCACGTATATCTTTTAACTTGATGTATTTCGCGTAGACCGACATGCGTGATATCGTTCTTTCGAATGATGAGAACTTCAAGTCAATAATTTAGAAGAATCCTGAGTTATTTGAAAAATAATCAAGTACACTTTAATTTAAAAAAAAACACTTTATATTAGTTTTATTTTTGTAAAAGCTTATGGAGACGTTTGAGAAGTTCATTTTGTCCTAAGGTAGAATGCCTAGTATATATATTTATATATATAACATGAAATCTTTTTTAACAGTTGTATTCAGTGGCAGCTGTATATAATAAAAATCTTTTTTGGTTCTAACCGAAGACATACTCGGTAAGTCGATAATGATTCGGATCCTTGTCCTAATAACTTACCTTTTTTATCTGAATTATTCAATATTCTTTTTTTCTGTAATTCATACTCTACAAAATGTACTGAGCTTAGGATACCTGATACTGGTAACTTGAAAATTCTTACTACCCTTACTGCTTGAAATATGTCGAAAGTCCCACGTTAGTATATATGCTGAAGGTATGTTTGAGTAAATACTTAGACAAATAAAGATACTGAAAAAACAGGAGCTGAGTATCTTAGGTTCAAATTTATTGTTCAAAGACATTCTATGTAAAGGAAACACTAGTGCACTCCGAAAAGGCATATACTGGTAGAGATTCTTAATCACTTCGAGATAGCGAACCATGTTTCAAAAATTGTATAGTTTTAATGGAGGACTACATTAATGAATGTAATAATTTATGTATGTTGTCAGCTGAAATCGTATCTTCTATTTTTCTCTCAAGAGAAAAATAACTAACTGATGAATTAATTTATTTTCAAGATAAAAAGAATTTAACAAATTCATCATCAGAATTTATCCCACCTTTTGACTATATATGCATTACTAAACTGAGATTTGTTGCATTCTTTTCTTGGTTTCCAGACGTCAATTAAAATTTTGATATCATATTTCACTTGAACTTCAAAAAAAAATGATGTTTTTTTTCCAGCTACTATTTTCTACCTGTCTGTTAAATAATTAGAAATTAGTGGTGTTCTAGATGCGACAAAAGTTTTAATTATAAAACATAAAATTTACATTTCTCGAATGAAGTACAGTGCAACAGGGAAATTTAAGAAAAATTCAGAAGGAATTGTTGATTATGAATATGCTGTCGTATTTGTAACAAAGTACCATAAATCACTGCCTTATAATACTTTAAAGCGTACCGAAATATGTCTTTCAAGCACTAGTTTACTAGATAATTGTTAAGCAAGATAGTTAATTTAGTATCATATTGTTGTACAATCAGTGAGTACACTTGGAAGGAGATATGTAATATTATTTTTTAATAACATTTCTTCCATTGCAGTGTTCAAATATTTTTTTTTGTTTTGTTATTAAATTTATTCCGTCAAGAATAAATTAAAATTTTGTTTGATTCATCCATTGAGTCAACATTTTAGAATGCAAATTTCTACCATAAATGACATACGACTCAATCTGGGTCGTTATGGTTTGTCAGCATTGGTTGTGCTAGGTAATATTGGTAATATTTTAACGATCCTTATATTTATAAGAACATTAAGAAAACAACTTAACTCATATGTGATGTACTTATTAGCTGCTTCAATTACAAATTGGGTTTTGATTAATACTTCACTTATTTCTTCACTTTATGATGTTGATCATATTGATCCACAAAATACATCACTCATTGTATGTAAATTGAGAATGTATGGTTCACACATGTTATTAATGCTTTCAAGAAGTTTTAGTAAATTTTATTAGTACATAGAAAAAAAGATAATTATAACTTTTATTTTTGGCAATAGCTGCATGTATTGATCGATGGGCTTTGACTTCTTCAAATGCTAGAATTCGATCATTTAGTCAACCAAAAGTTGCTCGTAATATTATCATTTTTCTTATACTGATTTGACCTATTATTCCAGTTCATATGGTTATTTTTGTAAATAACTATTCTGGTCGTTGTGGTCCTACTTCATATTATGCTTTTGCATTTTCGATATATTTATTCATTTTTATCGGAGCTCTTCCACCAATATTTATGGTTTTATTTGGCTTATTAACTCGGTATAATTTAAAGCAAGCTTGATCAAGAATATCACCTGGAAGTGATTATACTCAATATCGATTACGTAAAAGTGATCGTGATTTGATGAAAATGGTGGCTGGTGAAGTATTTGTCTATTTAGTAAGTACAATTCTTTATGCTGTTAATACACTATATGGTTTTATCACTGGACCTATTGCACAACAAAAGAGTGGAATGCGTTTGGCTATTGAAGCACTTGCTGGATTTATAGTTAGTCCACTATTGAGTTTTTTATATTGTGTTACTCCATTTTATGGTAGAGTTCGTTTATCAATTTTGTATTGAATTTTTATCAAGAATCGATTTTTTTTTCATTTTAGTGTATATTGGGTTTGCTCAAAGAAATTTCGAAATGATTTTATTCGCTTAATTCATTGTCAAGCCATTGTGAGGGATGTTATAATCCCGTTACACCCGGCAACCACTTGTCAAACACGAACTTAACCTCAAATCAACTATCTAATTATTATTAACAAATTATCCCATAATGGTAATACCCTTTGGACAATGATTTTCAATATAACTATGTATTTTGGGGATACCCGAAGGGTAATACCCCAAATCCACTCGAATTGTTCAACTCTCAAATACATGGTTATATCGAAAGTGATTATGCAAAGGATAATACCCTTAGTTTCAACGTTTTTTGAAAAGGAAATACTCATTATTCCTGGAAAATTGATATTGTGACTTAAAATTGTGGTTGCTCATTGTAATGGTATTAAGATATATATGCCTATTGTTTAAATGAACTATGCGTACAGTAGAACATAAGGCATAAAAGACTTCGAATACATGTAAAAATATTATATTTGAAATAAAATATAAAAAAAGAATTGAAGTAGAGATATTAATGTTATGAAAAAAAAGATATGTACATTTGACAACAAATATAATCATAAATGGACTAGTGTGTTTCTGCTTCACTGAAAAATTTATATTTTCTATGATTATTTGTATAACACTAGCCAATACAAAAAAAATAATCTAAATGTGTTGATAGTATTCTATGAGACGTATATTGATTTCCTGATATTTGAGATGCACTGTCAATCATAAGATATTGAAAATCCACAAAATCCACATAAATTAAATCTTGAATTGAAACAAATATATTCATGTCATTATGCAAATCATGCTAAACCATAATTGACTTCTTCTGGCTAGGGAAAACATGAAACATGTTTTCTAACAAAGATTAAGATTACATATACAAAATCAAAGTTGTTTCTAAATGTATACTAGTCACTTATGAATCTACATTGATTTTTCTCGATGCTTTATATCATGACGGACAGTATAATTGTTATTCATCTATCTGCACGATAAATTTCGGTGGTCATAGCGACGTATGAAAACCTGATGATAAAAACCTTGATTAAAATTTGGTGGGCTGAGTATGCGCATAAATACAAGGGGATAGACAAATTAAACACATGTCCACGGCTGCCTCCATACACTAATATTGAAGGCATCGGTGTTTCATGCGTAGCATCTCAAAAAGAGATACTTTCCGATTAAACATATAGCTATTTAAAAGAGATACAGCTATTTAAAGTATTTTGGTTATTTAAGCTACCAGAGCTGTCTAAAATTCCCTATAGCTATATTACGGTTCGCACGGTTATTGAAGTTGCTATGACTAATTTTTTGTTAAGAACGTTTGAAAACAGTCACCTAGGGTGCGTGGGTGTGCGGGTGTGAGTGTGTGGATGTGGGATGTGTTGGGGTGGGTGGGCGGGTGTGGGTGTGAGTGTGTGGATGTGGGATGTGTTGGGGTGGGTGGGCGGGTGTGGGTGTGAGTGTGTGGATGTAATAATCAATAGCAACGCTCAAGCCCACACCCACACTCACATCCCACACCCTACACCCACACCCACACCCACACCCACCCACACCCCACCCACACCCACACCCCACCAACACCCACACCCATCCACACCCCACACCCACACTCCACCCCCACCCATACCCCCACACCTACCCACACCCACACTCCACACCCACACCCACACCCACACCCACACCACAGCCAGCAATCAAAAATCTAAATTCATTTCTAGCATTGCTGACCCGGTCTTTAAAACTGAATATTTCTTACAATGACAGTTTTCTAATCTTCTCATCACAACAAGAATAATTTATTCGCGAAATCTGTTGCTATCAAGAAATGAAATGGTAGAAATTAAGATAGCGTTTACTCACCCTATTAGGGCAAAACTAAACTAGTTTGGAAGGAAGCGTTTTGCTTCATGACATGAAGAATGGACACTATGGACAATAACGGTCCCATTCACATCTAATGAGCATTTTTTTAAATAGATTACCACTTCCGAAAATTATTTAACTATTCGATGATCATCAAATAACTGCAACACAAATTCTATTAAAATATTGTTTCAATGACACTGTAAAGCTTCGAACCCCTTATTTGAATATTGAACATCAGAGGGTGTGGGATACGGATGTGGGTGCAGATATGGAAATTAGCGAAGGCATTATCGACACTCACACACCTACGCCCTTCTTTATTTTCAAACTAGTATAGAGACACTTAAACATTTGGCGCCACAGAACAACACATGAGATGATACATTTGTCGGTAACTCACAAACCGACTAACTGTACATATTGGTTTGCTACCAGAATTGAAGCTTCAAGGTTTCAGCCAATATCGAATCGTCGTGTTATAATTTGAATTTAATCTCGTATCTTATATATAAGATTAGGGTGCGAATGGGTGTGCGTATGCATTCTTTCTTTCATCCACACCTACACCTCACATGCATACCCACCCACACTCTCTAGTTTTTGCAATGGTGTGGATTTAGATATGATTGAGACTGAGAATTTTCCTTCCAGTCGTTCCGACATCCACCATCTGTGTACGCAGATCACCCGATCGTGTATGCGAAAAAAAACTCTTTACATACCAAATAGTGAAAAAGCTCGTGCAGCGTTCTTATCTCGCCTTATCGATCTTCCTTCGACCATGTGTTTTTCATTTTATAATAAAATGACGACGAGAACGAGTCGAAGTTTTTGTGTTACATGCGGAAAAGCAAACGGTGCCGTCAAATGTGAAGGATGCTTGAAACAATTTTGTTTCGATCACATCATTCAACATCGAAATGAATTGAGCGAACAACTGACAAGAGTTGAAGATGAGTATAACCAATTCAGAACTGAGCTAGATGAACGAAGGATGCAACCAGAAAAACACGGATTAATGGAAGAAATTGCAAAATGGGAACGAGAATCAATTGACCGTATTCAACAAATGGCTAACGAAGTGCGTCGTGAACTCTCGTCCTGCATTGCCGCTTCACTAATCGATCTCGATTCACAACTTAGGAACATATCCGAAAAAATGCGTCGATCTCTCAAAGAGAATGATGTTCTCGAAAGTGACATTCGATATTTCGAAGAAGAACTGCAGAGTTTGAGTGATCTTCTAAAAAAACCAACCGGTTTCAACATCGAACGAAGGTCCGTGTCATTCATCGATCAAATTCATCTGGTAGTGAAACGTAAGTGAGTGTTGGCTTTGCATCAAAAGACGATCAATACAAGTCTTTTACATGCTACTCTCTTGTCGCCTAAAGGTACATGATCTTGCTTACTCTTTCAGAACTGTTTCATAAAGATTCAATGCAAAATTCTCAAATCTACAGGCCATTTAGATATTGAGTCATTTCGACTTGTTTTTTACGATGCTTCTTGTGCTGATATATAGGATATTCTCTGAAATCAGATATTGGACAACCAGAGAATTCAAGGACATGGTACTTAATGTCTTAAGTATCTACACTAGATTATATGTGACACTTGGTGCAGTCGGTTGTAACGGGATCGTGTTTAATCGTATCACAAGCTTCTTACTCATAGTAGGCAGAGTATGTTGAATTTCTTAAAACCCCAAGAGCTCAGTAAGGTAAAGACAAATTCGGCGCTTAGAAATCTCATAATGTAAATATATCTGTTTATCTTTGCTATTTCTCAAGTGTATATAAACATAGAGTTACCTTAAGCTTCTGATTGTAAAATGTCAAAATTCTAAATGAATGTTTATGCTATGTTGTAGAGCACACTTGAAAGTGTAAGAAGGTATATTTTGTTATTCGAAAAATTGTTTCAATGTGTCTTAAAAAATAAATACTTTAAGCAGTAATTGCTGTATTGTCAGTTACGGTTTTTTCTATCTTACATTGAAGCCATCCATGTAAAGTGATGTCATCCTCAAAACTCCCACAGTCAAATGTTTTGCAAGCTATCTAGCATGGTCTATCTTTTGACAAAATAATAAACTTCTATCCTTTCCTTCACATTGAGATGCTTTCAAAATAAAATTTGATCAAAATTTGCTGTAACAACGTTATAAAAAACATCTTATTTTAAAATTTCTGTGAGCCACCTACGAAATACGAATAAACAAACTAGTGCACCATAGCTAACTTTACATGACGAATCGGATGCACTATTTTTTTTTCTCAAAAAATATTGCATCTTGAGGTAGATGAGCGTAACATTGTTACGAAAACTTAATTTCTAGTACTACTTTCAGCTTATATAATTGAACAGTAAGTGTAATGTTATCAGAGACATAACTACTGCATTCAATTTAAACCTGATTTCGATCTCTGATTTACCGATCTAATGACAAATTTTCTGGAAAAATTCCTAATTTTTGTTTGTTTTGCAATGTTTCTGCTTCTGATTAACTTTAACCATAGTGACTCCTACGGATCGAGGAAACATTTTGAACTGCCAGACCACTTTTGAGTTCGAACTCTGTGTATAATGCAGAGCCTATTGAGTTATGAAAGTCCCCAAAAATATAAATACTCTTAGGTCTTCTGCCGAGACCTATAGACATTTTACTGTAATTTTAGCCGATGGCTTGTATGGGGTAATCCTTTTTCGTCCCTAATTTTTTTTACGGACATCCGACAGAGCAATTCGTTCCGAACTTCAATTTCTTTGAAAAAGTCCGGATGTTCGGAATGAAACGTCCGGAAGATCGGAATGAAAACACCGGATGTTCGGCATGAAAGTCTGTCAGGTGTTCGGAAGCGAGTAAAACAAGGGTTTTTTGCGATTTTGTCTTCAAAAATGTATGGATGTTCGGAATAGAAATGGTCGGATGTTCGTAATAGTGAGTGGCGGATGTTTGTAACAGAAAAGAACCAGTGTTCTTTATAACATAGTTTATCTTCTTTTATTTCCTAGTATATTTTTTTACAAAAAAATCATAAGTCAACAAAAAAATTACACAAGTGAGAGAA